GGCAGAGAGAGAAGGAGACAGAATCCGAAACAGGCTCCAGGCTCCGAGCGCTCAGCAGAGCCGGACGCGGGCCTCGAACTCAGGAACTGTAAGATCATGACCTGAGCTGAAGTCAGATGCCTAACGGACTGAGCCACCGAGGTGCCCCGAATTGTGCATTTTAAATGGGTGAATGTATAGTATATAAATGTTGTCTCACTGAAGTTATTACTACGTAGTAAAGAGGAGGGTAAAATGAAGAGGGTGTAAATGACAAAAGACCAAGAAGCATTCCATAGGGTTGTCTGGGGCTAAAAGATGCCAGCCTATTTGGGATTAAAAGGAAAAGCAGGGGCAGCTGGGGGGCTCAGCTGGTTGAGCATCCAACATCTTCTCAGGTCATGATGTCACACTTTGTGAGTTCAAGCCCCGTATCGGGCTTGCTGCTATCAGCTGAGAGCCCGCTTCAGATCTTCCGTTCCCCTGTCTCTGTCCCTCCCCAGCTTCTGCTCACGATCTCTCAAAAATAAATGAAACATTTTTAAAAAATTTTTTTTCAAAAAGAGGAAAATCAGGTATTTTCAGATAGTGAATGAACCCAGTGCCAGCTAGGAGCTGTTTACCCTGGGGACAGACTCTGCCATTCCAAAGGATCATGTGGCATGACTGCTTGAAAGCTGTGTAGCTCACTCATACCTGTCTCCCTTTGGCTTAAGCCACAACCTGAGCTCTGCTAATCATGGGGCTTTTAAAAAGAGGAAAACTTCTTAAGCAAAAATGCTTCCTGACAGGAAAGGAGATTAAGGCCTTCATTCAGACAGACCTCAGAGGTGGATGAGTTCTGCACCCTAACTTTATCCCGATGTAGGGCAGGAAATGGAAGACATGCAAGTGGAAGGACAATGAGGAACCTCATCTTTCCTCACAGCAATGCTCTCTTTATTAAGGAACAGTGGGCAAACGAGTTCAACTCAATAAACAATATTCACCAATTATATGCACCAGAAAACTCAACGGGCCCTTAGAAAATATGCTCTGTAACTCCACTATGACGGAGCGCCTGGCTGCCTTAGTGAGTAGAGCATGTGACTCTTGATCTCGGGGTTATGAGTTCAAGGCCCCTGTTGGGTATAGAGATTACTTAAAAATAAAATCTTTAAAAAAATCCACTATCACAAACCCCACCAACACACTTCTTTAATCTAACTCATGAATATTTACTGAGCTCTCAACCCAGTATAGCTGTTTCTAGCATAATGCAATTGTTAAACATCAGTTATAGATCTACTGCGTGCAGAAACTCTGAAAAGGGGTAGCATGACCATGCAGCCATTCTCTGCACGAGGTGGCACTGAAAGAGGCACCTATAACCTAGATCCGGGCCTTGCTCTCAAGCAATGATATAGTGGGAAATAACTGCTAACTAGCTTGAGTACGTATGTGTGTCAGGCACTGCTTTACAGATACTAGTTCCTTTGTCCTCAGAGCACTGCTTCTATCTCCCCATAGAAATCCATTTCTAAGTCCATTTTAAAGATGAGAAAACTGAAGCTAAAGATGTCAAATGACTTCCCTGAGTTGAGACCGCAGGAAAGTGGTGAGGTGACATTCACACCCAGGCATTCTGGAACTCAATCTCCTTAGCTTCAGCAACGGCAGAAGCCACCAGCACCAGGTCCTGCTTACAGTGGGCACTCAAAGAACATCTGCTGAGAGGAACTGGAAGGTTAATGTGACACAGGCAGAATAAGAGTGCTTCACTGGAGATGCTGCAGGCACAGACAAGAGGAAGTTCCTTAATTCTCACTGAGAGGAGCCTAGAGAAGGTGAATCCTGGAAAGGGAAAAGAGAAAAGGGGGGCAGTTCAGGCTGAGCGAAGCACAGACCCTGTGTGACACTGAAGCAGTCTGACAGCTGAGATCCAGTGATTCTATCTGCTGGCTAAAGGTATCTAAGCAGATCCAAGCAACAGGCGCTTGCTCGTTGTTAGTTATATGGTACATATAACACAAGCAACTAGAAGGAACCGTTTATTTGGTGACTTTCATCCTGGCAGTAAATAAAAGGAAAGAAAGCAAGCATCACTGCTGGATAATGGGAACACGCATAGGATTTCAATTTTGGAAGAACCTATCATTGAAAGAAACAACCAGAGGTATTCCCGTGCCACCTTCTACAACAGCTCCTAGAAAAACTACTCACCAACTCATAACCCCCAAATGTGCAGGTGAATCTCATTAGGAATGGATCCCAAATGATGAGGCCTCTGGGCAACCAAGAATGATCTGTATCCAGGATGGATTATAATAAAACCTCAACAATCAAGATTTTTCTGAGGATGGCATTATTTTTCTAAGTACCTAGCCTCACCAAGCCTTTGAAAGAACAAACCATCGTACTACCTGGTACCTAAATGGTACACTCCACAATTTTTCCACAACAACCATAATACATGTTAAGTGTAATATTTTAAACCTTCACACGTCTTTTCTCCATGGTTCCAATTCCAAATAAAGGGAAACAGCTTTAAGCTAATCTTAATATCAGTAGAGAGTGCATTAAAATAGTTCTATAATAAAGTTTCCTACTAGAACTTAGTAAGAATGCCTCCTTATTAAGTTCCTTCAAAAAATTTAAATCCCACAGATAAATTGCAAGCACAACCATAGCATTTCCGTGCCTTTAAAACATGGAAATAACCTATTATTTAAATTCCCAATTTAAACTGTGAGCTTCAACAACCTTTCCAATATTTTCTTCCACTAGGTCTCCCTCCCCCAAGGCTGATTCTGATGGGTAGGTGGGTTGGTGGGTTGTGGGTGCTTCCCGAGCAGACACATCTGAGTTTCTCAAATTAAGCAAAAAGGATGAAAACAGAAGTATACATATTTATACTATTTATAACACTAACCTGTGATATTTGTTAAATTCTGCCTTTAAAAAATGCATGTTGAAAACGCAAATTGGGGAAGATTTAAGCCACCACCTCCTTCTGTGAATGATGCAAATGAAGGCCCAATCAGAAAATATCTCCCACCCACCATGAAAAGCATGTTTTAAGTGACTAAAGAACATTTCCCTTGACTTCTTTGCCTTCCTTGGTTCACCTCATAAAAAATACTCATATCTTCACTATGTGATAATTCTTCTAGCCACATACTTACGATCTGTGCGCTTTTGTGGTATGCATGTTCCACTACAGTAAAAAAGATGTTTTAAAAATAGGTCACATTAACTTAAAAAAAAAAAAGGTGTTGCGGGGAAAAACAGCATGAAATCGGTTTCCACGTTGCTTACACCCCCGCACTACCTGCAACCACTTCACAGAACGTCAGAAGACATGAGACCTGCTTATCTAAAATTCTACCAAATGTCCTCAAAATCTCCCCCTGCTTCGCTCATTTTGGGGCAGCCAGTCCGGAGACCAGCCGTCCACAGCTCCTAGCAGTTGCAGCCTCGCGGGCTGGGAGATGCAGCGGTCGCACTGCCACTTGAGGGGGCCTGCGGCCCCACCAGACCCCTGGGCAACGCACCCGAGGCCTGCGGGAGCGCCTGCGGGTGCCAGGGGAAACCGGCCTGGGGCTCGGGCTCCGTTCGCCGCCTGCCGGTGGGTGACGTACCGGTTCTGCCCCCGGGATGCCGCGAAGCACGAAAGCCGGCCACCTTCGCGGCGGGCCGCAGCTGCCGCTCGCGCGCATTTCCCAAGACGCACAGTGGGCGGGCGCGCAGGCCCCGGAGACCCCCCGGAGCCCGCTCGGCCTGCCCCAGTGCCCCCCGCCCCCCACGCCGGCTGCTCCGCGAGGCATCCAGGCTTCCCGCAGCAAACATACTTACCACCCACCTTAAGCCACCCCCGAGTGCACTCACTCACTCACTCAGGCCACCTGAGAGGGGACCCTGCCACTGGCACCTCGAGCGACGCGGCCCTGGGTACCGCACCCAGTCGACCTGGAGCCGGGGGAAGGGCGTTTAGCCCAGCACCGCGCTGCGTCCCCGCCCCGCGCGCTCCAGAGCCGCTGCCCTGCGCGGCCCACGGCGGGTCCGCCCCGCCCCTGGGGGGACCTGAAGACCCCACGCATCCGCCGCACCCCAGGGGCCCTACCTGAAGGCCGGTGGTTGGGCGGCGAGGTCCGCACCGCACCCGACTCGGCCATCTTCCCAGGGAGAGGGGATCCCCGCGCAGCCCCCTCGGTCCCCGCTCCAGCCCCGCAACCACCGCCGCGCTCCATAGGGACGCGCGAACCACACAGGCGCACTGCCCCAGCCGCCGCGCCGCACCGGACCCGCGCGCGTCCGCACGCGCACGCGTCCTTCTCACACAGCTTGCGCACTCGGCGTGCACGTGCGAAGTGCGCTCCGTTTCTCACGCCGCGCACGCGCACCGCGTGCACAAGCGAGGGGCACACTGACCCTCACACAACACAAGCACGCAGCATGCACATGCAACGTGCGCACTAGTTCTCACAGCACGCGCACATACCGCGCGCACGTTCGACGTGCACACCAGTCTTCACTCAGCGCGCAAGCACACCCGGTGTGTACATAGTCCTCATACGCTGCTTACATGTAGCGTGCACACACCGATATAAACACACCTCTCCACACAGTGCGCACACTCAAAGCGTTATACACGTAGGATAGTTTCTCAGTGCACACATCCTCACAAAGTGAAAACAGCGCACACATACCATGTGCACACTTGCTCACCCAGCACGCACGTGTTCTCACACACAGTGGACACACATCCTCACACAACCTCCATATGTTCACACACACTAGGCATCCACACACATATATACTAAACGCTGCAGCTCTGGAAACAGTTCCTGATGAGGGCCTCAGGCAGATGCCACTTGTGCAGACACCTGTGGACCCTCCCCCAAGCACAGTTAGGTTCCAGTTCTCCAGATGCCCCGGTGGTCGGTGCTAGATTCTCCCTCACCCCAGCCAAGGCGTGCGGCCACCCGAGGCAGGACTACAGGACCTTCAAGGCAGGGCAGGGGCATGTAGTCTTAGGGACCTCAGCCTTCCAGCCATGCCCTCACTCCCTGGCTCACTCCTTGGCGGATTCCACAGAGAGCTACTCTATGGTTCCTTTTTTCCGGGGGGTGAAAATCTCTTCCAGAAGGACCTCTGTGGGAAGACGCATGGCAAACTGTTAAATGGTAGCCTCAGGAGTAGAAGTCCGGGAAGGGTGTGTGGTGGTGGTGATGGGGTTCTCCCGGACATCCTTTTAGCCTTGCCATGAGCATTTATCATTTTTCAAAAACATACATATTGAAAAATACATCTTTGCATAGCGCCAGTTCAAGCTTCCAGGTTGTTTACTCAGGTATGGCCTGCCAAGTGATAACCGATCTCAGTGGGGCCCCAGGCTGCACGTTTCTCTGGTGGACAGTGACCAGCCCTCTGAGCTTTTTACTCCCAACCCTGGGGGAGAGATAAATGTAATTAAAAAACCGAATGAAGCTGAGTAAGAGTACAGGGTTTCTATTGGGGATGATAAAAAGATTCAAGAATTAGATTACGTGATGGTTAGCTCCGTAATACTAAAAACACATAAAATTGTACATTTTAAATGGGTGAACTTTATAGTATGTAAATTATACAATTTTTTTAGGGGCGCCTGGGTGGCTCAGCCAGTTGAGCCTCCAGCTCTTGATTTCCATTCAGGTCATGAACCCAGAGTTCTGGACTGAGCCCCGCTCGACAGAGCGAGAGGATTCTCTGTCCCTCTCCCCTGCTCACTCCCTCTCTTTCTGTAAAATAAAAGTAAATTAACAAAAACAACAACAAAAAACCCACCAAGCTGAAACTCTCAGGAACCCGCACCTGGATTCGTAGTTCAAAGCTTGGAAGTCGCTTTGTGGCACAAAAATATGATGGACTTGTTGGTGACACTCCCAAAGGTGAGCTGGGAGTAGGGAGTGACTGTGATGAGAAAGGCAGAAGGGGACTTTAGACACAAATGAGCAGGAAAGCGGGCAGGTGGGGGCTCGTCCCCTGGCTGTAAAGAAAATAGTTTCTAACCCAAGTAAGATTAAGCCAAGTTAATTAGGTAGGGCATGGGAGCCATCTTCACTTTTCTCTTTATTTCTTGCAGACCTTGGGTAGTTCATAATTAATCCAATTCTTGAGCTCTTGCCTGACATGTCAGAGTGGCACCTCATCCTAGTTTTATTCTATTTCTACTTTCTATTCCCACTTCCATTCTAGTCAGACACCTCCTGTTTATTTCTTCTGTAGCTCTATTCTTCAAATATATAGTGTTGTAAAGATATGCATGGTTTTAATTTATATAAATGATATTGCACAACAGCTATCATTGTTTTTCCTTGCTTGGAATTATTGTCAACATCTATCCATTACAGCTGCATACAAATCAGAAATAGAGCATTCATTCATTCTGGCTCACTTTTTTTTTTTTAATGTTTATTTATTTTTGAGAGACAGAGTGTGAACGGGGGAGGGCCAGAGAGAGAGGGAGACACAGAATTCGAAGCAGGCTCCAGGCTCTGAGCTGTCAGCACAGACCCGACGCCGGGCTTGAACTCACAAACTGTGAGATCATGACCTGAGCCAAAGTCTGCGGCATAACCGACTGAACCACCCAGGCACCCCCTGGCTCACTCTTCTTAAAAAATTTTTCTTAATGTTTTTATTTTTGAGAGAGCGAGAGAGCGCCAAAGTTAGTAAGCAGGGGAGGGGCAGAGAGAGAGGGAGACACAGAATCCAAGGCAGGCTCCAGGCTCTGAGCTGTCAGCACAGAGCAACGCAGGGCTCAAACCCAGGAACCATGAGATCATGACCTGAGCCAAAGTCGGACACTTAACCGACTGAGCCACCCAGGCGCCCGTGGCTCACTCTTCCTAACTCTTAACTTGCATATTCAATGCTTGTCCATCTTTTTATTGGGTTGCTTGTCTTTTTCCTGTTGATTTTCAGGAGTTCTCATATTCTAGATAATTCCTTGTAGGTTTATTTATTTTTTATTTTTTTATTTAAAAAAAATTTTTTTTAA